CAATGCACTTTATTCCTATTTAGTTCCCTTATATTTAAGACAATGAATCGGCAACTGTGACTGTATTTTAATTTGTGGTGTTTGATTATGTAACTGCTTTGACAACTACTAACTTCTATTTTGATTAATGATTATGCAGTTATGAATGTCTGTTTATGTAACAATATTGCTTTTCTTTTAGTTGATGATTTCTGTGTTTATGGAGGGTAATTAGTGACTACTTTAGCAGTGGCTACACAAACGTATAGTTTAGACAATTGAGCAGATAGTTGTAGACACTAAATGTATAGTTTATCCCCAAATACAAAACCAAATATTCGCCAACATAAATGAGACAAATTAAGATAAGGGCAGCCTTGCAAATTCTTCATTACACAAACAAATTCAACCAACATCTTTTCATTGCACAAAAGCCTTACAAGTTCAACACAATGTTGCAAAATTTTGGTATAAGAAGAGATCATGGAAATTTCCTTGAATCTCCTTCTCCTTTTAGAAATAATACTCTTTGAAATACTAAACTTACACCTAAAATACAAACACACAACAGAGCAATCCAAAGTTGTTTCTCCCTTTTCTTGGACTTGGGCAATTTATTTTTCCATTTCTTTTCAACTGTTTTCATCATCTTCAAATCATCATCAAAATTGTCCATTTTTGACTCTATCTTGTTCATACCTATTTTGCTTTCCATAGATTTGGTCGACTTAGTAGGCTTGTTGATTTCCTTATCTGAAGTTTCAACTTTTCAAGAAGATTCAACACTATGTTCAAGCTCATTAATTCTTCCCAACACCTTGGGAATCACAAATTTGGATCTTGGATCAATATAATCATCCTTCCAAAGCCAAAAATCGCATGATATAGCATTCTTAAAAAACAAAACGAATCATTCTGTGGCTCTTGAAATAACAAAACGAATCATTCAACTCTTAAAAAAAATTAACTTACCCCATAGTAAGGACAACCCCAATATCTTATACCAGGATTTTTTGGGGTCCAAGAGGTCAGCAAAGGCAAAACAAATCCATGTTTGCATCACACCTCTTCCAATTCATGATCTTTCTCTTGCAAACAGAGCCTAGTCAAGCTTATTCAAGACATTGTAGCACCTTAATAAGAATTACAGCGAATCAAACAACTAAAAATGCAAAAAAATTACGAAATAGATAGAAACAAATCAAAATGAAAAAGAGAGGAATGAATCAAAATGAAAAGAGATGAATGAATAATAGTGAAAACAAGTTACCTTTGATTCAAAAGAAGGAATTTTGAACTATGTTTGAATTCAATTTGGGCTTCAGATTTTTGGGTGAAAATTTAGGGTTCTTCTTCATTAGGGTAAGATGGGTGGGTTATAAGAAGAGAATGGGAATATAACCGTTGGGTTGGGCTCTTTTATTAAAAAAATAAATAAAAATGACTTTATTAGCGTGTTGACGCGCTCATTTATGTGGAGCGAAACGCGCCCTGGATTGGGTGACGGAAGGGGTAAATAAATACACTTTTGTGTACTTAAGGTGTGTAATAGGTCTCTCCATTAGTTAAAGTGTGTAAGTGACTTTTGGGTACAAGTTTAGGGGGAAATTTATGCCTTTTCCCTTCTTCTTTTTCACATCTCTTCTTCTTCATTCTTTATACATCACAATCTCAAGGTACAACTTTTCCTTTTGATTAGCAATTAGGATAATTTTCATAGATTTGTTAGTGAATAATTGTATTTTGTGATAATTTTAACTAAAGGAAGAATCTAAAAAGAATTTCGATAAACCTAAATAAATAAATCCTTAAGTTATGTTTAGGTGATTTTGGTTGATTGTTTCAATCTTTTCTATTTTTTGACTTTGTTAAAGAAGTTTTGGTTGTTAATCAATTTTTGGGTTTAGTTGTAATGACAATTTTATGGGTATATGGTGATTCTAGGTAATGGGTGAAAAAAAAGAGGAAATTGAAAGTGGTGAAGAAGATTAATCAATTTTTGAATTTGGTGAGGATGACAACTTTATGAGTGTGGTGGTGCTAGGTAACGATTTTGAAAAAAAAGAATGAAAATTGAAGATGGTGAAGAAGAAAAAATTATATTAGAAATGGTGATGGTGATATTTAGTGGTGGATGACGAAGAAGAAGAAGAATTGAAGGTGATATGACGGCGGTGAAGAACAAAGAATCAATAGTGAATAAGGTAGCCGGATTTTTCCGTGAGATAAGAAATGGAGTGGGTGAGATTTTGTGATGAAGAAGGTATAATTATTAGAGAATTTTAATAATTAATTAGAGATTAATTAGTATAAAATATTGTTAACAAAAGAAAAGTAATTAATAAAGAAAAGAAAACAATTTTTTAAAATAAAAAATCATAACTTCTGACATGGCGCTGACGTAGCGCTAATGTGGCGGCGAGTGTATTACACCACACTGTATTACACCACACCCTGTGAGAGTGGTGTTACACGTCTCAGGGTGGTATTAAAAATTCACTTTTGAATAGTAAAGATGTGTAATAGGTCATCATGATAGTTTAAGCGTGTAAATGACTTTTCCATATAAATTCAGGAGGAATTTATGCCTTTTCCCTTATTATAATGATGAAATACATCATATAATGTTCCATTGATTTATTGTAATAGTGTCGTAGTCTTTTTTTCTTCTTCTTATCTTGCGATTACTATTCGATAATCCTATATATTTTATTCATTACCTTATTTTATCTTTATTTTATAATTACTGTACTTCAAACTTTACTTTTTCTTTATAATATTATAAATATATAAATGTATTTGTTTGCAACAAATCTTATTGATAAATCAATATGAGTACAATTGTGTTCATCTCTTCATTATTCTTTCATAAAATTTATCTGTGATTCGAGTCCCATAAGATTTATCGTATTTCTTTAACTAGAATGATTTGATTTGACCATGAATATTTCATGAATTTGCGAAATATTCGAAATGCTTCTTAAAGGGAATATAATATCCTTTATATATGCGTGAACAAGAGTTTAGGGTTATGTACAGGGGCGGACCCACGTGTTGTCCAGGGGGTTCACCCGAACCCCCTTGATAAAAAATTACATTGTATATATAAGGTGAATTTTCTGAATTTATGTGGATATATATATTTTGAACCCCCTCAATGACAAGGTGAAGGAGATAGCCCAACGGCAGCTCCCTTCAATATAAAGCCTGACGTCCAGGGATCGAATCCTTGGGTTAGCCTTTTTTTTAGTTTTTTACTTTCAGTTTTTTTTTTTAATTCCAATTCCGATTTTCATGTTTTTTTTAAAAATAAAAAGTGCTAAAATGTGGTGTTAAACCCAAAAAATTCAAGGGTCCCATACTCCCATTCCTAAAAGCTAATAACTTTTTCACTTTTCAAATCCCTAAATCACTTTCTTGTTCTTCCCCAACACTCAAAACTCAAATATTAAAATCATCTCCCATAATATTCTATTGTTGATTTGACATATTTTAAAGGGCTAACTTTTTGTTTCACTGTAATCACTTATGTTAGTTTCGGATTTTTTGTAACGAAACTAACTTTTTGTACCTATAAACTATACACTACTACTTTCTTGATTTTTTTTTTTGTTGGCTTATTTACACATTTATACTTTTATTTTTCGAATCCCCTGAACAAAAATCCTGGGTCCGCCACCGGTTATGTAGCCTCTAATTGAAATTGAACACACCTTGTAAAGTCTCAACTCGAATTAAACACATTTAGTAGAGTTCAAAAAAATTCAATGTCTATAGTATTCTTTAGATTGATGATGCATGATATTACTATATAAGAAAAGCATCAATTGAAAAATGATAATAGGTAAATTTTGAAAATTATTTTTTCTCGTTTTATTAGAAAAAACATTTTCCAAATAATATTTTTAAAAATATTCTATAAAATGCCTCTGATGGCTTTCAATCTTCTTATTTGGACAGCCACGTGGTTATTACGTGATTTTTAAGGTCTTTCTTCCTTGGCTGGCTTTTTAATACCAAAAATGAATTGGTGCCAACTGCCAAGTGGCTCATAAAGTCAAATACACTTCCTAATTATTTTTTAAAAAATCTTAATTAAAAAGGTTAATAATAATGGAGAAACTAATTGTTCAATGCAAAAGACAATAAGAACATATTTGCCGAAAAGGTCAAAAGAGTTTTGGGTTTCTATTAGTTGAACTTTTCAAATTAATTGTTACGTGATCCTACTTCAAGTCCTAATTATTTATATTAAAATCCCTTATTTCTCTCCTAAGGGATTGTAATTTCATATTAAAACTATGTGATTCCTAAAATTTATATTATTATTTATCTGTAATTTTTTCGGTATATACTTCTAATAAAATACAATTCTCAAGATTTTAAAATATTAGCTAAACAAACTAATCCTTTTTATCCATTTTAAATATCATGCTTATTAAAAATAGGTAGTCTAAATTTTATTTTTTTTATATTTAAAAAATTTAGATATAATTAATCATTTATTTTCACCTTTACTCTCTCTTAATATTAAACTATAAGTGTGTGGAGAAAAACAAAAGTTAATTTTCAGAAGCTAAAACAAGTAGCATTTGCCTGAAAACACTTTTTAAGAAATATTTTAGAGAAAAAATACACTTACAATTACTTTTTACAAGTTTGGCGAAACATTAATTGTTAAGTTCAAAAGTGTTTGTAAATTTGGCCAAACACGGAGTATTTTCTAACCAAATACATATATTTTTGTTTCGAAAATAAATTGATTTTAGAAGTTTGACTAAATATGTTATAAATATGCAGAGAAATTAATGTGTTTGAAAATAAGAGTCGTATTAAATTGAAATTAACGAATAATAAGATTAATTTTTTAACTATACGATTAATAATGAAGTAATATAATACTCGTAACGACTGAGCCCTGATGTGCATCTGAAGCCGCGTAGAGAATAATTGTTCTACTATGATTAATTAAACAAAATAACAAAAAAAGAAAAGAAAAAGATACAAGTTTGAAATTGGAACAATGTGAACAGAACAAGTGGCCCAACTCATAACACAAATTTGGGATTTTAGCAGCCTGGTTGGTCAGGTCTTTCATGGTGGTTAACCATCATCTCACGATCAGCAAATCTTCAATTAATCTCCATTTTCAAGTCAGTGTGGCCCTCCATCATCATCGTCATCATTCTACTGAATCCATATTAAAACGAAGCTTCCGAAAACAACCACGAATTTAGGGGAGACCGAGCTGCCATTCCTTGATGACTTCTTATCAATTTCTCAGATCTCCCCTTCATAAACCCATACATACATCTACTACTCCTTTTCTAGCCGCTCGAAGATCTGTATATAGTTGATTGGTTTTGTTCCGAATCGGTATCCAATTACTAGCTTCAGTTTGCTGGCTCTTTTGTCTTTTTTGAGGTGATAATTGAGATTTTGTTTTCGACTCTATTTGGCGGGAAATTGGATTTGTCCTCATCTTACATTTTGGAATTTTGAATTCAAACAGGTCATTATCCTGATCCCTTTATAAGGATTTCGTATTATTATACCTGAAGAAGTAAGGAAGAGGATGGTGATTTCGGATAATACCAGAGGGTTAATTCTGGCAATATCATCAAGCTTGTTTATTGGAACGAGCTTTATATTGAAGAAGAAAGGTCTAAAGCGTGCTGCTGATGCTGGCACTCGAGCAGGTTTGTTGATCTTTAATCTCAATTGAATTGCAAATCAGCATATTTGACTTATCCTTTTCTAATTGTTAAATAGAAGCCTTGTTCACAATGTAAATTGTTCAGAGTTAAAGAGAGTTTTGTCTAACTTTACATCGAAGCTAAAGTGTTACTATAGAACTTTTGCTTGCATTTTATTATTTGGTTTACTTACCGGAACGGATAACATTCGAGATCATGCAGGATTATACACAAAAGATTCTGTTTATTATCTCAGTTATTGTTGTTAAGGGCTTATTAAGAAATTTCAATCTTTTAGGAAACTTGGATGTCTACAATCTGGTATCTAGACAGTGGTCTCGGGTTCAGTTTTAGGAGTCAATTTGACACAGGTTATATTGAGAAATTTATTGGATTGCCAATTTCAAGTTATTGCATCTTAAGATCTGCCTAGGATTTGATAGACATTCTAATTGAAGATTAGTTTGGAAAATTTTCCATGGAGATCATATTGATAAGTTAGGAAGCTGTTCACATACAAAAATTATTCTGTGAAGCCCTTACAGATGCGTTGTTGCAAACTAAAGACTATCAACTTGTTAGTCATGAGCAAGATGAAGAGGCAAAGATATATATGGTGGGGGTTCCATATTTCAATATAGTTTCTATAGTATATGTAATGATCATATGGAAATTTTAAAAAATGTTAGTATGTAAACTTATGGTTTGTCCATGTTCTGTGAAGTGTTTTCTTAGATATCCGTGTGGAAGTACCCTCAAGGGCGGCCGGTTTACCTCTCTTGTGTGGTTTGCGAGTTATTATAATTGAGTCGGGTAATGGTTGCAGGCTCTCTTGTCATCAAAAAAGGATAACCGTGTGGAAGTTTAGATATATGTTTGAAGTTGTGGAGAATTATTAATACCTTTGATGGTTTTATGGACTCTTATTATGCCAGAGATTTTGATAAAAAGGATCACTCACAGGCTATAAATTTTGTATTGGTGGTTGTGTTGGTTGCTGGAAGGTGCCATTACAACATCTTGTAACATTATCTATTATGTGGCTATATATATGGCTATGGCTGAGGCGATTAAAGAAGTTTTGAGGTTAAAGGGTTTGTTTGACCAGCTTAGTCCATGTCGGGTGTAATTACTATTTATTTTCATTGAGTTGGTATCAGTTAGAAATATGAAATACTTCAGGGTCTTCTGCTTTGTTTTTAAGAAATTGCTGTTGAAATTTCTTCTGTTCTCTTGATATATCAATTCTATTCATTTTTTAAATTAAAACTGCAATGTTTTATTTGCTTATTTTCAGTTGTTCTGAAGTCTTTTAGTGCCACATTATCATTGTCTAATTTATGATTCATGACTCTAAACTAATTAAAATCTGTAATACAAGATCATTTTGTCCATCACATACTGTGCCAACTTCTGGTCGCTCACTTAAACAGTTATTCTGATATTTACTGCAGGAGTTGGAGGCTATGCGTATTTGCTTGAACCACTTTGGTGGACAGGCATGATATCAAGTGAGTAAATCATGAATTGTCTCAATGCCTTAACCCACTTTTCGGATAATGAATGTATTGGTATTGTGTGGTTTGGATTTTGATGAAAATTTTGGATTTGGATTATGTAGTGATCGTTGGGGAGGTGGCCAATTTTGTGGCTTATATTTATGCTCCAGCAGTTCTGGTGACCCCTCTTGGTGTTTTGAGTATAATTATCAGGTATGATTTTTGAACTTTATGAACTGTTTGTACGCTCTAATAATGAAACATGAGTGGTGTTGACAAAACTTAGCTTGGTGAATTTTTGAATAGTGCTATTTTGGCGCACTTTCTGTTGAAAGAACGATTGCAAAGATTGGGTGTACTGGGATGCATTTCGTGCATCATGGGCTCAGTGGTTATTGTTATCCATGCACCTCAGGAGAATATGCCAGCTTCTTTAGAAGAAATCTGGATTTTGGCAACTCAACCAGGTTTGAATTTTGTGTCTTTAGCATAAATGTTTTTCTGTTTACCATAGGTCATCGCACTTATAGAAGTAATTACTTATTTCTTCATTACTGCCTCTGTCTGCAGCATTTTTGGCTTATGTAGCTGCAACTTTATCGGTGGTGCTAGCTTTGATTTTGCATTTTGAGCCTCGCTATGGGCAGACAAATATACTGGTTTATTTGGGAATCTGTTCCTTAATGGGTTCATTCACGGTAATTTGTTTTCTTTTAAGCTACCATTCTTAGCTGCAATGTGGACACAACTGTTTCTGTATGTGGTGCGGTTTGCATATATCAACAGTTTGCTACCTTGTCCAGAGATTGGTTGCTGTAGTTTTTTCATGGTTCTTTGCAGATTGTCAGCATAAAGGCTATTGGAATTGCAATAAAACTTACTTTGGAAGGAATAAGTCAAGTTGCTTATCCTCCGACATGGTTTTTTCTTTCTGTTGCAGTGATATGCGTCATCACACAGCTAAATTACCTTAATAAGGTAATACTTTATCTATAGAGTAGAATGGATAAAGGGGATTTGAGAAGCCGACCCCAACTAATTTGTGATTGATTTGTTCTGAATTGATGTATTCTTATCAACCTATCAAGCCTTTGCTTGCCCATATCCGAGAGTAGTTTAGATCATACATCTATGATCTATGTGCATATTTTCTATCATTCATTTAGATTTAGATATTAAAGTAATTATTCTTCTTTATGCACTCCTTCTATTGGTGCTAATTTTATCATAGTGTGTCTCGGTATTTGTCAGAAAGATAAAGTGTAAGGTTGATAATGAGAATTGATACCTACTATGCTAGAACGTTCTTCAGAACTGCAGACTTTGTTTATGTTTCTTTCAGGTTTTTGTAATTTGGAAATATAATTCAGCTTAAGATTTATTTTTGATGAACGTCATTAGATGCCCATGAATAGTTTAATGTCCACCTTGCACAGTCCTCTAGGAATGCCTTTTCTCATCCTATGTTGAGAAACAGGGTATCACAGTTCAGTTCCTTGAGTCACTTGTTGGTCTTTCTTAAAAGCTTAATGATTGAGCAGCATAACTTTGGATATCTCAAACAAGTAGTTCCGTTTTCTAATATAGCACAATATTCTGGTCTATTGTCGTGTTAAATTTTCCTAATTAGCTGATTGGGGGATGCATAATTGATTGAACAACCTTTTGACTGCTGCTGGACGACTAAAAAATTAGTTGGTTTGAAATGTGTACTATTAACATGAGATGTGTAATTTTGTTTTGGAGTTTATGACATGCATGATTGTTATGGGTCATTCAAGGTGGTACCCTTTGGGGAGTTTAAAAACATTTCTGATATCTATACATCCTTTGATAGGCACTGGATACATTCAACACTGCAATTGTTTCTCCAATATATTATGTAATGTTCACCACAATGACCATCATCGCAAGTGCAATAATGTTCAAGGTATTCTGTCAATTGAAGCTCTTCTTCGTTATGGTCCTCTATGAATATGGTACAGGGTATTATGAATAGTCATCTCACTTTGCAGGACTGGGCAGGACAAAGTGCCAGCGACATAATTTCTGCGATATGTGGATTTATAACTGTACTTTCAGGAACAGTCATGCTCCATGTCACTAGAGAGCAGGACCCAGTTCCTTTGCCAGGTATGGATTAGACTAAAGTTTACTGGAAGTTCTTATCCTCACATATTATATATGTTCATTCTAGATACAGTGCTACCTTGCCTATTATCTACAACAAGGATGTCATCACATCTTTCTGTTGCACTCCTTTAAAAAACAGATGTTGAACTAGGCGTGATTACTGCTACTTCTGCGTTCCTTTGTAGTTTGGTGCATCATCACCAAGGGAGAATATATTTTACAGTGTCATATTATTTGATTTATTGACATACTCGCTAGCTATTCCATTTGGGATGATCGCCAAGCCTCTTGAACACATTTTTGACAGACGCATACATGTGTACTTTGTTAAATTAGGTCTTAGGCCTAACTCACACCCCAAAAGCTAGCTCAAAGGGAGGAGGATTGCCCAAGCCTTATAAGGAGTCCACCCATCTCATTAACCACCGATGTGGGACTTTTGTCATTCTTTAACACCCCACCTCACGCCCAGTGCTTAGCATCTGGTGCGTGGGCAATTTTTATTTTGGGGGTCCCAACATCGGGTGAGACGGGCCCTGCTCTGATACCATGTTAAATTAGGTCTTAGGCCTAACTCACACCCCAAAAGCTAGCTCAAAGGGAGGAGGATTGCCCAAGCCTTATAAGGAGTCCACCCATCTCATTAACCACCGATGTGGGACTTTTGTCATTCTTTAACATACTTCTGATGTTATATCACCATAGTAGAAGTTGAAATATGAGAATGAACTTTTCGTATCTAGACATGCATCTCTGCTAGCACTGCTATTTTTCTACTTCTAATATTAAATTGGTATATGCAGGAACTGTAACATGGTACGATGGGGAACAAATAAAGGCTATAGAGGATGGACATTACATCCTGTTGCATGATTCAGAATACTTAGACTCATATAGTGTCTCGACGAAGAATTAGAGTGGTTGATTGCAGAACTGGAAGTTCTATCACAGCCCATTCTTGATTTGTGCAGTAGAGGAAATGAGGTTCTCGAGTTCTCATTTAAGCTGATTAATCTTGAGCTTCACAACTGCTTGGCAATTTCTTCCTATGTGCATAAGGCTAGAGGGAGAGGTTTTGATTTTTCAAGATTTCTTGAGCAACATGGGGATACATCTGGACATGGTTTTCTTGCAAATCTCTAATTGTCTAATTGCAGTCGGGGTTTGTACATATATGGCTTCTTTCTAGTGTAATTATTCATTATTTTTTCATAATGAGATATAGCATATGTTTTTTCTGAAGGATGATAAGTGGTCTTCTTGCTGTTGGTATGTTTGTTTAGATATTAAGTCAAATTTTAGTGAAACTCAATCATTTGACACCCATACACAAGATCAAAATAGAAATTTGGAGCACGGGGTAATATAACGGGATAATGAAAGATCGAGTTTGAATTAATCAAAATCACATAATCCCCTTTAACTTTACAAGAGAAGCAACATCAATTGATTATGAGATACGTATTGAAAACACTCATAAACTTGATGTGAATTATTACTTTAGTCCTTCAACTATTGATAGTCTTAAAAACACTCCTCTACTTGATTAAGTAATTTAAGAACACCCCTCTTATGCCACATGTCATTCGCCTATGCGTATATGTGGAATTTTTTACTGATGTGACGTACACATAGATATATATAGTAAAATAAAAAAAACATTCAATAATTAAATGCTAAAATTTAATAATGAAGATTTTTTTTTTAAAAAATAATTTTTTTTTCTTACCTTACCCCATCCCCTACCCAGGTACCCCCACCCCCTCACCCCTCAAAATTTTTAAAAAGTTTTTCTCCGACTCCCTTCCCCCCCAAAAAAAAGTACGCTTAAAATAAAATATTTTTTTTTCTTATCCTACCCCTCTCCCCTCCAAAAAAAAAAAAAAGGTTTAGAATAATTTTTGTTTTTTGGGGTGCGTGGGTAGTGGGTGTAAAGCTAGGGGTACTGGGTAGATGATGGGGTGGGGTGATAAAAAAAATGAAGTTCTTTTATCTTCTTAAATTGCTAAATTCCTAACATTTAATTATTTAAATGTTCTTTAAATATTTTTTCTATTACACCTACTTATGTGTACGCCCCACGTCAGTAGAAAATTTTACATATATATACATGTGGCATAAGCGGGGTGTTTTTAAATTCACTTAATCAACTAGATGAGTGTTTTAAGACTGTCAATAGTTGGGGGACTAAAGTAATAATTCACGTCAAGTTTAGAAGTGTTTTCAATACTTATTTCATTGATTATTTGAATAATCACTAAGACTTGTTTTATGATGACTCTTGATCTACAATCTAAGTGCGACTTGGTTAGTATATCAGGACAATTCATTATTTTATTAATTGACTAATTTAGCTTAACGATCTTTCAAACTTGTATTAGACTACATTTTTGAGATCCGTCAATCGATTAATTATGAATTGATTACCTTGAAATAGCATTAGCGGAATGCTTGTATTCTTTTCCCTTTTGCGTCGTACTGCCATTCCGACTAAATTCATTAAGGGTGTATTTGATATAAAGAAAATTATTTTTCAATTATTCCATGATTGATTGGTCAAATTTTTTTGAGAAATATTATTTCTAGGAAAACAAGTTTCCTAGATAGAGAAGTTTGATTTTAGTCTAGAATTAACTACACTAGCTTCATTTTTACCCTCATATTATTTGCCTAAATTACATAGAAATGTTGCCTTTAGTTTAAAGAACATTAATTTAAAAGACAAACCAATTTTCTAGAAAATTTATAAATCTCTCTAAACAGAAAATGTTATACGTAGTGGGGAATGATGATCGTGCAGATCACAACAAGGATACCAACATTGTTAATAAGCCAGCTAAAAGGCATATAATAATTAAATAAAAGAGTAATTCTGGTGTGTCAAAGAATAATATCCTCTAAATTACAAACAAATAAATATAAGAATGGTTAACATAATATCTCAAATCACAACAAAGATGTATATGCATGATTAAGATAAATGTGGAGAAAGATTCCTAAAATAGTATATCCTTAAAAATAATACTTAAGCTATTGAGGATTATGGCAGCTAAGTTGGTGAGCTCCCATCTTCCTCTATTTAGGTACAAGGTTTGAATTCTCCAAAAAATACAACGATGACTTCGTTTTCGGGTCTTGTACACACCGTTCATCACACGATGAGAGCTGATCATGCCCGAAGTCGTTATCTTAACCGCAAGGCGGGGATACAGAAGGCAGGACTAATAACTAGAGTGAAGTCGTAACAAGATAGCCATACAGGAAGGTGCGGGTGGACCACCTCCTTTTCAGAGAGAGCTAATGCTTGTTAGATATTTTGATTTGACACTGCTTCATACCCCAAAAAGAAGAAGGGAGATACGTCTTACATTCACTTCTCTTCGTAAAAAATAATTTTAAAAAAATTGTAGTGTATGATATTCTTCATGCAATATTTACTTTTATATCCTTGATTTATTAGTTCTTCTATTTTATTGATTGGACTTGAGAAAGAAACTAATAAATACAATCCAACACTCTCATGTTTTCAATCGGATTTAGATGATTTTTTACAAAAGCATATATATTGTTAGGGTAGGTAGATAATTAAATTGAACACAAATGCTAACAACCCCCCTTTGTCAAACATGTAAACCACACCAGCCGTTCCCTTTTAGAAATCGCCTGATAACTATCGCCCATGTACGATCCATACTAGATCTGACCAACTACACTCTTATGTTTTCAATCGGATTTTAGATGATTTTATTACAAAAGCATATATATTGTTGGGGTAGGTAGATAGTTAAATTGAACACAATCGCTAACAACCCCTCTTTGTCAAACATGTAAACCACATCAGACGTTCCCTTTTACCAATCGCCCCACAACTATTGTCCATGTACCTCCTTTGTCAAACATGTAAACCACACCAGACATACCCTTTTACCAATCACCCCACAACTATCGTCCATGTACGATCTATACTAGATCTAACCAACTACCCATCCAAATACCTGTACAATAAAAAAATAAGAGCAATTCAAAGAGAATCTAGGTTCATAATTATAATGAGTTTAATATTTTAGTTCTTTCCTGGCCCTTTTGATTCTATTTTATTATCTTCCATATTTTCATTGTTAATTAAATTTGCAATTGAAAGAGAATCAACGAGAAATCTGCTTGTGGTTGTTGGCCATTAACCCTCCTATGTACGTCTATATATATATATATACAAAAATTAAAAGTAAATAGCGGGGGTTTTATCTGAAAAGAGAAAAATCTAAATAAATAGCGGGGGTTTTAAACCCCATCTAAAAATATAATTTTTTATACAAAATATATAATACAACATCAATATTTTTATACTGTATTTTTAGTTCATGAAATACAAAATACATTTTTGAAAACTTCACTTGCTATTTGAAATTACTCTCAGTCCTCACTTCTACTCTTCTCTCACAACTACACTTCTCTACACTGCCATTTCTCTGCCACTTCAGCTACCTCACAACTCTGCAAACTTCTGGTGAGTTAACCAGATTCAGAATTGAGATAGGCGTTCTAAGATAATATTTTCCACTTTTCACCTCTTTGGAAAATGAACCTACCTCACCTCTTTGGATATTCTCATCTGAATCGCCAGAGATTTTGTTTAATAAGGATGTAGTAGTGGAGGTAGAATTAGTAGAGGCAACAAATTATTGAGTCTTTTTCCTAGATATCTTGCACCTTTTCAACTCCATTGATTGTTAAATGAATCAGTTATTACTTGATTCTTTTTTTTGTTTTCCATTCATGGACTTAATATGATATTTGTGTACAAGTCAAAGTCATACAAGCTTCTAGGTTGTAGTTAACCACATTACAGTCTGCCTCTTATTCAGTTGTATGGTGTTTCGTATATTCAAGAAGAGATAAACGCATTACGATTTAATTCATGTCTAAACTAATTAAAATATTTTCATTGTGCTTGGGAACGATATCTAGTGGCAGTGAGGAGGTTAGAGGAAGGTGGGAAACAGAGATATAAGGAGTTTGTAGCTGAGATTTAGGAAATTGAAAAGGTTAAGCATCTAATGTTGCGAGGTTAAAAAGCTTATTATTAGGCTCTTGATGAGAAGCTTCTGATTAGTGATTTCATTTCTAATGGCAACTTGGCTTCTACTCTTCACGTGAGCTTTTCATTATAGTAAAATACCTTCACTTTTGTTTGTCTAGTAGATATTAACTGTTGAAAGAATCATTAACGCATTCATATTTTAGACACTTGGGGTATACTATATTCTTACCATAAGTAGCATTATACACTGATGGATGTTTTGTACTTTTCAAATTGATGTGTGCAAAGTGTAATTCGCACTACTAAAAAATTGTCAATAAACGACGGTCAAAAGCGACGGACTGCGTCGTTTTTTTGGTCAAAATCGACGGAAAAACGATGCAGTCACCTCCGTCGCTTTTTAACCCGACGCTTTTTAAAAAGCAACGAACTGCGTCACTTTTTTACTTTTTATTTTTTAACAAAAGCGACGGACTCCGTCGTTTTATTTTTATTTTCATTTTTTTAAATTTCTAAAAGGCGACATAGTCCGTCGCTTTTGTGGAAATTTTATTTTTGAAAATCCCATAAAAGCAACGGACTAAACCACGCTGTCCATCGCTTTTCTAGGTTTTTAAAACCCAGAAAAGCGATGGACTAAACCACACTGTCCGTTGCTTTTTCTGCAATATATTTGACAGTAGCAGCTCGCAGCTTCTGCTGCCCACCTGCAAATGCAATTCAATTCAATTCTACACTATTCAGCTCAATCAAACACACACAATTATAAACAATCTAAACAAAACATAAAACAACAAACTTAAAATAACATTCAAAAGTATCTAAATCATAAATTAAAGACTTATAAAGTCTTTTAAAATTCGTTTCAAAATTTCAAAAAGTTCATAAATGTCTAGAGATCTAAACTAGGGAGTGAGATCTACATAATCATCCTCATCACTCTCGTCGGCGGTGTCATCGGGAGCCGAAGTAGTAGGTCGACGAGCGAGGTTCATCACTTGTTCTTTAATTGGCTGAACGGTCTCACTCATGCTTTCTTGTTCAGCTACTCTTTTCCACTTCGACTCTGCTAGTGTCGTTGTAAGTTTAGCTATTTGATCCGACATATAAGCAATCTGAACACCGTCAAGTGCCTCGGTTTGACGTGACGATCCAATACCTTCTAAGCCTAACTGAAGGCGTCTAACATCGTTGCGAGAGA